GTCTTGCAGATATCATTTTAAAGAAGTACTTATGGCCAACCATTCCCTGGTTTTTGCATTATCAGAAAGTACCTCACAATTAGAATAAATGCCGCATTCAACCGAATTTATCGAGACTCACTCAGGGAATGCTCGTGTAATGGTTAGGGAGAAGAAAGTAGGGAAAGAGGCAGATACGGATTAGGAGATGTACGCATAATTTCTAAGTGATTATGCCTTTGTTTATTGGTTGAAGAAAGCATTTTATGGCGATCGTTTCGAGTAAATAGGAAATAATTTAAGAAGTTTCACGGGCTGCTTGAAGGACGTAAACGATCGAGGTACCACCCTGTACTGATTTCAAAGCGAACGTGTTTTTGAAATAAAAATTCTGCTTACTAAGTAGCCTTAAAGTCTAGTAAGTAGTCTTAAAACACTAGCGTCTAAGGCTTTCGGCTTTAATGAAAAGTCTATACTGTTTGAGAATTGAATCCACGACCATTGAGTTGTTAGTCAAAGTCTTTTGCCTCGTCGGTCACTTGCGAGGATAAGTATAAGGTAAGGTGTAAAGCATTGCACTTCCCGATCGGAACCACATTTCCCAGGCTGCATCTACTCCCTTCCACTTGATACAACAACTTGAACAACCCATGTAAAATATTGTACAGACTACATCAAAGCGTAATATTAACTATAACTACGACCCAGTAAGGACCTTTGCATTGAGACTTGACCTTGGAATATTGTATGCGGTGCATAAAGGCATAAATATCACTAACTATAGTTACGGCCAAGTATGATCTATTGCATTGAGACTCGAACTCGCAAACACCAGCTTGGCGCTCGCCAATCTCACCTACTCGGCTGGGCGGCAGTCGCATAGAGTAAAAATCGGTTCATATGAGAAATTATTTGTAATGATCTATTTACACAATTTGACAGTCCCTTGGTGTACAATTAGTCGTGAATGTGACAAACGTGACACAAGGTTAACAATTAGCTTTTAAGCACAAAAATTCCTAAATATTTAAAATAAAGCAAAGTGCTTTCAACTCTTCTATAAATCACAAAGAGTTTTACCAGAGATATATGGGATCAATCATATAACAATTTACTGTGTATTTTTTGTCACACATATGATAAGTCTATGATATTTATTGTTTAAATGCATACATATACGAACTGCTTTGGCAAATATTTGTGTTAATTTTTTTATTTTCTTTGTACCCCTGAAAGTTGGGATATGCTTATCTGTTCTGTTTGTATTACTCAGTGATATGCTGCTAACTATTTGCTTGCATTGTTGCCCAATGTCTAGGTTTCAAAATTTTCTTAGCATGTTCGATTGTCTATGTAAGGGGTATAGGCTAAGTCGGTAAAACTAGGATGGACCAGTCAAGAGTTAACTTTTATAGTTTTAGTTCAATGCAGCCCAGATAGAAAGGAACAACAACAGAAGAGAGACGTATTACGTTTGAAGTATCTACAGGTAACTTGGGGAATATATTTACTTTACGATACTTCTAAACCATCTTAGTATTATCACAGTTAAGAAAACTATAATATTCTTATATTTATTACGCGACGACATGGCTGTCCTAGGAATGAGAAGACTACTTACTGATACTTATTTATTAAATGTGATAGACGCTACAAAACGTAGATATACCGGTTATAAATAATACAATATAATGGCTCATTCTGTCCCTAAATTGGTCCATGTATTAAGACCACTCAGCTTGCTTAACAAAGCAAAATTTATTTCAGATATTTCCTTAGTAGGCAATAGCAGTTAGTTTATCTAGAAAAATCAGTATACAGGAATTCAAGGAAGTGGAAGCTTCCCTCTCTTCAAGTCATCATTTCAAAAGTTCTTTTAGATTGTCATAAGACTTTTAAGTTGAATTTTAACAATTTACTCAATGAAATCTCCCCTGGTGCAAAAATCATCTAATAGGACGGTATAAAGATGAAGGGAAGTACAGTGAGTAATATGTAACCGATAAAGACATAGATAGGTACATGAATTTCAGTTCGATATATTGAGCGAAAAGATCTTCACTTTTTTTTGCAATCATGTAGCGATAGCTACAAGCTGGCCTTGAGCGGTAACAGATCTGCCTTCAGTTCAAGGTTGTTTCAAGGTAAAGTGCTATTGAAATGTGTAGAATAAAAGATTAGAAATATGAACTATGGCCTAGAAGTTAATTCTCAGTATTAAAAGATCCATTTCAAAGAAAATTTCTTTCCAGTTAGTGTGCGTAGTAAGTTATAAAGTGCTGTCAAGTTCTATAAAAACATGAACTCACATTTATACGATATATGACGTTTATATGGTCTATGCTCAATATGTTGAATAAAAGCAGTTTTGCTTTCAATTTTCCCTTCAGAAGCTAGGGCTTAGCCCCAGAAATCTTAAAACGGGACAAACAGAAATTCATTCGGGTGGTGTCAAATTTTGTATGATGGATGAATGAATGTACCTTAGTTTTGAATCGCTTTCAAATATCGTACTAGGCATTAAAATATTCAAATGAAATCGCACCTCTTTCTCCTATAGACGTTTATTAAGTATCATGAAATTATATAAAACTTATGACTTGGAACGCGCGCAATACACCATCGATAAGTTGACCAGACCACTCTTTCCTCTTCTTACTTTATAAAATAATTTATGAAACGCTGCCAAGTTTTTTAACACTATTTTCTATATTTCAAATATATATATCGATATATCGAGTAGCAGTGGCTTTGCTTTACACTGCATTCAGAAGCCAGTGCTTAGTACCGAAAAATTCAAACCAAGACGAATATGAAAATCTTTCCAGTAGACCTTAACTTAGTTATGAAGATGGATGGAACGAGTGTTTGCCCCAAATTGCATTGAGGTATCGTACTAAAATAATGCTTGACTTTAAAAGATTCATCTCTTGTCCTTCTTCTTTGGCTTGCATAAGAACTTATGAGATACTGTCAGATTCTAAAAAAAGTATTAAAAAGTAAAATACCTGCTGTACACGATACGATATCTAATTCATTTATCAAAAAGAATAGGCCTTGCTTAGCTAGAACTTAGTATCGAGAGTTTGAAATCAATCCATATACAAATTATTCCTAATAATGTTTTATAATAACCTATGAAGTGCTGCCAAGATATGCCAACGAGACATCGAATACCCCGGGCCTTCGCATCAAATTGCAATAAGTTATCGTAGGTTAGCGATTGCGTAATATCGAAAGATTCGGATTAGGCTGATTATTTATCAGATGCTGTCAAGAAAAAAAATGACATAAAGTACGATTTAATTGGTCACCGGAACAATTAGGGTTGGACTTTAAAGGGGTTTGGCGCCAGTTAAATGTAACGACTATTGAAATTGACGGTCATTATAGTCATTGACTGATTCAATCATTGCAAATCATATCTATAATGTACTTTATAATAATTCCAAGGTGTAGCTATGATTTATTTAGCTCGATTACTTGTCTTGTCCTATATAATTGCTCTGAATGTTGTAGCAGTAGTCGATGGCAGTAGTAGCGGTTTTGTGTTCTATTAATTGAATTTTATAATTAGATTTCTAAAAATGCAGATTATTTTTATATACATTTCAACGATATTGTAGCGTTGTATCAAAAATGATGCAATTTTCCAAAAGTGTTTTTTTTTTTTTGTGATTAATTTTCAACAAATGCACTTAAGAATTGTTTATAATACTTTATATACAGACAGGCACGTGTAGCGATGATACTTAACAGATTGTTTGCGCATCATCATCGGTATCATCACCATCATTATTATCGTTGTTACGATCATCATAATCATCGCTATTACGTTTACTTAAACAATTGCAATTTTCCCTCAGACATAGCAACGCTTGTGCTTCCCTATATTAAAATAATGCTCGTCTGCCTAGAAATACGCGAAGAATCCGCCGTTACAGATAATTTATAATAGAGTTTGTAAATTTTGTAAATATGAGAAGAACAAAAAAAAAAAAAAAAAAACAAGTGAGAAAATTACATTCGGTCGGGACCGAATCTTTTACACCCATCACGGTTTAGGAGGGGCGCAGTTGATTTCTTCTATTTTCAAATTAAAAGTTTTTATCGTAGAGTAGTGTACGCGTTGTGGGCGTGTACTTGGAAAAGTTTAGGCCAGTTCTAATTCTTTTGAAAATTTTTAGGCGATATCTTCCTTTTTGCTAGCGGCAAAATGTTTAACACAAATACTGCAAAGCTGCAGACAAACAGACAGATGGACAGACGAAGAGGCGAGTATGCATTCAAAATTTGAAACTGAGTAAGAATTTGAATATTTTATGGGGTTTTGAAGCTTGTTTCTTGCGCGTTATAAAAAGGTATTGAAAAACTAATTCAATTTTAATACACTATAATATTCGGTAGGCGTGAGCAATTTTCTCCATTTTTAGGCACAAACGCCAAAGCATCGTCCATAGAATAAACATTCATTGCTATAGTTTAGCATTTATTTGCTATAGTTTATGAGAAATGAGCAAAAAACCCATTTTTCATTCCTTTTTTGAGATGTTCTCAGTTCATGTGGTGCTGTGGGCGCGCCCTTCCAACGATTTGGCCCATTTTCAATACCAACATGCGTGCAAGAACTTCCATTGGTTTTGCCACACTTGAAGGCGATAGCTTCACTTTTGCGGCCAGGAGAACGTTTACAACACACATTACATAGGCGGACAGACGAACGGAGGGACATGCGTAAATCGATTTAGGATTTGATGCCGAGCAAGAATATTTATACTCTGAGGGGTCTCTGATACTTTCTTCCGGTCATTGCATACGTTTTAACAAAATGCATATATCCCTTGTCCGTCAGTGATCAGTAAATAAAACGCATTGCGAGAGGTAGATGTAGAAGAACAGAAGAAATGAATTTAATCAACTTATCAATAGAAATTTTTCTCATTTTTCTTCTTCTCTTTCTTGAATCAAATCCTTTCTTTACTAATATCAGATTTTCTTTGGTTTTTTTCATCTAATTTCAGTTTATCTTCTGCAAAAGGAATAATTAAATAGGAAAAAAAAAAAAATAAGAAAAATTAAAATTTAATTCGAAATGGAAACAATCATACTTTCCTCCACATAGTATCGAACGTCGTGTGTACGAATACAAACTTAAAAACGAAGAACTCGTGCAAATTTAACACAAGTGTAAGCGAAAAGTGTTAATAAAAAGAAAAAACTTTCGAAATTGAAAATAAAAAAAAAAAAAAAAAAAACGAAAATTTATTGCATGTGTGCTTAGATTATTACGGCTCAACTTGTAAGCCCTTCAACGAAAAAGTGTAGACAAAGGAGAAAAGCAGTTGTTAGTTATCTTATCTAGTCCCTCTAATTATTTTCATTTTTATTTTAATTTGTTTTTTTTTTTTTTTTTGGTGTTCTTTAAAAGCAACAACAACAACAATCGATCTTTAGGGCAAAAGTTGTTTGTTTCAGCCGAAGTGAAAAAGTTGATTTGCGCGTGTGTTTCCATTTTCAATAATAAAGCTTTTGAATGGTTTCTGAGGACGGTAATTGGAACAGTAGTGATACCATGTCCGATGCGGACATGCACGATTCAAAGAATGATGTATGCGGCGGCGCATCCAGTTCAAGCGGCAGTTCGAGTACGCCGCGTACTAAGCCCAATTGCGCGCGCTGTCACAATCATGGTGTAAAGATCAAATTAAAAGGTCATAAACGCTATTGCAAATATCGTTTTTGTGATTGTGAGAAATGCCGGTTAACGGCCGATCGTCAACGTGTTATGGCATTGCAAACAGCTTTACGGCGGGCGCAACAACAAGACGAGCAACGGCGTTTGGAAATGCATGAAGTGCCACCGGTTGTGCATCCGCCTACGGCTTTATTAAATCATCATCATCATCATTTACAAAATTTGAATCAACAGTTACACCATCACCATCATCATCCACATTTAGTGGATCCGACATCGATAGCTGCGGTAACTGGTATGGGATTGATGCCTGTTCATCATGCTGCCGCGGCTGCGGCTGCGACAATTTCTACAATACGCTCACCGCCACATAATGAGCATAACGGTGCTGGCAACAATTCAGCAAGCAGTAGTGGTGGTGGTGGCGGTGGCGGTGGCGGTGGTGGTGGTGGTACTACCTCATCCGGTAGTGCTGTCAACTCGCTAAGAGTTAGCAGCTCTATCGTAACTGCTCTGCCGCCTCATCATACGCCACCCGATCATCAACATCAACATCAGCATCAGCAGCATCATCATCATCATCATCAACACCATCATCAACATCAGCAACATCATCATCCGCCCGCACACTCTCATCCACATTTGGTAAACGTTTCGCAAACGGCCCAATCTGTGGATAGTTCTTGCGATTCATCTTCGCCGTCGCCATCCTCAACAACGGGTGCGCCCGTTAATCGCAAATCTACTCCGACTACTTTTGATCAGAATGGCTTTGAAATGCCAATAGGTAAGTCAATTATTATCATCTCTGTATATTAGGTGCTTGCATGTATTTTGATCATATTTTCAATTACAAAATGCTTTTGTTAAGAAAAGTTTGTACAGTGTATATTAAGCGAATTACTCTTGCACAACTTCTGTCCATCTTTCTGGCACCATCGCGATACCGAGTCGATAGAAAGATACTGCTTTGGCAGCGATCCAATCATCGACCCATTTTCGCACTTACCTTGCGCCAGCCAAGCCACACTGTATTGATCTGAACAAATGGTAATCAAAAGGCGCTGGGTATAGCAGAATTTCCCATTCGACTCCCAACACTGTATCGTTGACAACCCTCGCAACATGTGGCCGAGCGTTGTCTTGCAAGGGGATGACTTTCTGTCTGTTAACCGCTATTGCTTGAAGTTTCTGCAACAATACACCGTTCAATTTGTTGAGCTGATGTGTGCAGACATCTGCAGTAACGATTTCATTTAGTTTAGTAGCTCGTAATACCCTACAACTTGGTAATCCCCACAAAACTTTATAGCCATGAATAGTTCATTTCGGTTGGCTCTACTGGACTAATCCATGGCTTTTTGCGTTTGGAATTGTCGCAGCGAACCCATTTTTCGTCGCTAACCAAAACACACCGCACTCTTCTGTTTCTGCCTGGTAAGCAATGCAACCGCAATGTTGAAACGGTTCGAAATGCTATTTTCAGTCAATTCCTCATTTAGCCGTTGCCCCCTCACCCACTTTTTGAATCCTTCCCACCTCAAGAAAGAAATGATTCAGCTAAGCTGTTTGTAAGTTCTTTGAAAGTTTGAGGTGAGTTTTCTGCCTAATAACTCTTGCGATTCATCGTCTTTGAACTTTTTTGGTCCTCCAGGCCGTTCTTTGTCATTGACATCAAAATCCTTTAAATTTTTAAACCTATGCAGCCAAAACTGCCAATTGGAATATAATAGAACAGTACCACCATAAGCTTCTGAAAGTGTTTGATAGACATCGGCGGCAGATCTCTTCATATCAAACAAACAACAAATGTAAACAATGTTGAAAATGTAACTACAAATGGTCTATGATTAGCGCCTACATACACTAAATAACTCAATAACTCACTAAATGCGAAAGTGTTACCTCATGTGGGGAAAGGTCAAAATCATAGAATTTAAATGTTATGCATAATGATACTTTGCATTACTTTATCATTGTCGGTAGTAAATGACACTGATCAAAATACATGCAAGCACTTATTAGATATCTTTTTAATTTTTCCAAAGCCTTTTACAAGTCAATTCTTAAACTTGGAAGATTTACGATTTCATTTACAAAGTTAATCCAGGGAGACGGAACTAATGAGATGCCATTTATAACATAATATATAAATACATATACATGTGTAGAAATGCAATCTTGTTGTTTCGAAAAACTTGTATTTTTAAGTGAAGCATGCAATTGTTGTTTTTTTTTTCCATATTCATTATTATGCGCGTGATGGGTATTCCTGTCTAAATACATGCATTTATTCAAGAATGCATTCGCGGGCAATACGCAAGTAAAAAAAAAAAAGAAAGAAAATAAATAAATAAAAATATTTATATGTATGTATGTTCCACATTAATAAATTTTTGAATTTCATATCCCGAAAACATGATCAGCGACTTTGTGTACGAATCACTCACATTTGTTGATTTCTTCTTCTGCACTTTCTTTCTTTGTTTGGTCTGTTTTTGCGGTATATTACTGCTGCCTTATTACTGTCAATGCTATTTGTCTTATCGCATATGTATTCGTATAAATTACATATTATGTTACGGGTTTTTTTCTTTTGGGTTTTTGGTTTATGGACCACACCAGGCCGGGGTTATATTAGTTTCTCTGTTGCGTTTGCAGTGTTTTAATAAATAAAGGTTGCAGTGATTCTGAATTGGACTAAAAAAATTAATTGCATATAAATGTTTTTTCGTAAGTTTAACTGTTAGTTTAAAAAACACACGAACTAAAAATCTCTAACATAAAGATCGTTTTGGTGCAAATCTAAGAGAATCAGTCTGAAAATGCTCTTACACTAGGGTAGGTGTAAATATGAAACCGGAATGTGCTCTTAGATGCGTTTTGCACTACGTATAGAGGGTACGCATGTCTGAAGTTGTGTTCGTTTTAAAACTTGGACTTTTGGTAATACTAAACAGTCATAGCAATAGCAACATACGTTGTAACGCGAAAACACTTTTGCTACCAACGAAGATGGCGAGCTTTGTGTCACAAAAACGTATTCGCACGCAGCGTTTTTCCTTTGCCCAAGCTATAGTATACAAAAAGACTTTTTTGCTTTGTACCCCAAATGAGGAGGAAAAGTGTGTTTATTTTAAGTATCCCAAGCGCAAAAATTTGGTGGGTAGACGCAGGTTCTTTTTAATTATTTTATTATATGTCTAATCACTCGGGAGATGTCGGCTATTCGGAAAAAAGTGAGGAATGAGAAAGAGATAGGGAAGCCGTCTCCGCCTAGTGATCGTGTGAACAATCGGTAAGTATTATGCCTTTAGCCACTGAGTAACTACTATAACTACGACAAAAATGAACTTTAGCTCATTGAGATTTCAATCTTCGAACAGACACTTGTCCACGTTCTTATCTACCTGGCTATTCTTGTGGTGAATCATCAATATCGATCACGTGATCACTTTGCGTTGTGTAGGAAAAGTATGCTCTAAGCTGTTAAGGCTATTCAAGTCTGGAGAAGTGATTAATACCAAACGCTACCAACACTTTTTTACGTAATATGTGTCTTTCCATTTATCATTTCCTTTATTTCTTTCTCTACCCTCTCTCCGGTCACACAGGACATCCTCTGAGTGATTGGTCATATCATAGGAAAAAAAAATTGGCAAAACCGGTTCGCGATACGTTGGAAGCGATCATGCGGCTTACTCATGAAATTGGAATCCTTTTATCTCATCATTTTTGGCTCGAGTTCTTAAAGAAGTTTTAGTTCTGTCTGTCCATGTCTTAACTGCGCTGACATATTTATTTTTGTTTTTATATACAAAACGTCAAAACGGCCCATGAATAACAGGTTGATTTAAGTTGTAATGATTGACATTTCGTGCTGACATTTTGACAGGGGTTGGTGCTGGTTGACAGCTGACGTCTCCACTATTAACAATGATCGCTTTAATTGAAATTGTGACAGCGACTTCAGAGCTTTGCTATTTTAATTATCGGACAACTTTGGTAAATAAACGAATAAAGTTTTTTTGATCATGACTTCCGGAGAGGGTTGCAATATTTCAATAAATAATATCGGATTTTATTTGTATTAAGTCAAGTTGAAGTGTTCTCAGAGTGTATGCAACTAAATATGATCGCATCTATTTGTTGCTTCTAATCTTAGCCTTCTCTATTAACGAAACAGTTTAGCCATACCTTTCAGTTTCTTTGTCCGTCTGTTTAAATTACTGAAAACGTTTATCGTCAACTTCTGTTTAAAGATCGGTTTAGCTATGCCTTTTAGTTTCTAAGTCTGTCTGTTAGAATTGTAAAAAAATGTTTTACAAAAAAAAGCAAAGTAAACCTCAAGTTAAGTTAAAAAATCGGTTAAATCAATTGAGGCAGAGTTCTCTTTTTCCGTTAATTAGATTATGGCCTTCAATCTTTATGTAAAACCATAGATTTGATCAAAAAGTTTTACTTCTTCAGAAAACCATTTAAGCCGAATCCATTCAAAATTATGAAGAAAGCTATAATTTTTGGATTTTTAAGTTCCCCTTTTGCTAAAACCGCTACTTGGTTAAGACATCAATATTTAATCAATAAATTGCTGTGTTCCTCAGACTCTCATCACTAGAAGACTTTGAAAGCACCAGAAATCATTTCTTTGGTTAATGCGTACTTTGCACAAAATTATAATTTGCCTAAGAGTACTTTCTGAAAACCTTATCAGGTTTTTTAATGCTCTCATTAACTATCATTAGAAAAGAATTTCTTTTTTTCTTAGATGACAGACACAAAACTTTTCATAGAACCTTACAATTGATTACAAATAAAACATTCTCACCCTTCACTATATGTATGTATGTAGAATATATAATATATACTAATACACATAGTTATTATAAATACCACTTTTTTTCTGGTCGTTATAAGTTTAGATTCGAAAATAAGCCCAAAGCCAGTTCATTGGTCTTACCGCAATTACCACAGAAATGGTAATATCTTCCGAACATTATTATCTCTTGACTTTAGTTGACAATTTTAAGATTAATTTTAAGCTTTCTTCTTTTAATTGGTCTGACCACTCAGGGAATGTCTCCTATGTCTGTAAAGTTCGCTGATGGTCGGGAAGGATTACAGTTAGATGGTGGAGAGAAAAAAAGAGGTGAGTACTCGTATAGTCAAGATCAACATATTAAAAGCGAAAGTCAATCATATCAAACAATTATTGAAAATACCGAGCATAACCCAGAGGACTCCGAACGAAAGGTGAAGGGACTGTACATTTTTTTCTAAATACGCGCGCTATGGTATCGTTGTGTATATTTTTTCAAATAGGTTCGTATGACTGTTGTGAAAAGCTGACATATATTTCGAGACACGTGCCGTCTTCGGATCTTTAATAATTTCAAATATTTATATTTTTATAGGTTTTTTGCAATATCAACCGTCCTAGTTGTGGGTTGATTTTACATTATATTACTGATACTGATAATATTTCGATTTTCACGCTCTGTAAAATAGTTTGATGCTTATTTTGTTTGCCACTTGTTTTGTTATAAATTTTTTATAATGGTTCGAACGGTGGTAGCACGACTAATTCTAATTGTTTTTTTCCATTTTCGATACGAATTTTCTTCGCTTCTTAACTTTGTAAACATATTTCTAAGATCTTGAGGAATTGATTTGCGTTTTTGATAGAAAAGAAATAAAGAAATTCATTTTAATTGGTAAATTATTATTTAAAGCACAACAACATAACAAGCCGGATTGTTAAATACCCTACAGCACAATTCTTCTTTT